GAGAACAGAAGATTAATAAAACAGGATGTGTTTTCCACACATCCTGGTTACTGTATTGAAAACAGATGAAAAGGCTCAGGTAGTTAATAAAGTGACTGACTTGCAAGCATGAAGACCTGAATCCACATATAAAAGCCAGGCGCAGTGGCATATGCTTGTAATCCCAGGGCTGGACAGAGGTAGGTAGGTCATTGTCTCATTTGAAGGTCAGTCTAGCCTACTCGAGTAAGAGACCCTGTCTCAAAAACCAAGGTAGATGACTCCTGAGGACCGATGCCTGAAATTGCCCTGACCTCCATACATATGCATACAAATGCAAAAGTAAAGGAAAAGAGATGGATGAGCAGGCAAGACACCAAAGCTAGGGAATCAGTGAGTGAGATGTTAGAGCAACGGTTCTCAACCCATGGGTCACAACCCCTTGGGAGGGTCAAATGACCCTTTCACAAAGGCTGCCTAAGACCATTGGAAAACACAGATATTTACATTGTGATTAATAACAATAGCAAAATTAAAGTTATAAAGTAGCAACAAAAATCATTTAATGATTGGGGGATACCACAACATGATAAACTGTACTAAAGGGTCACAGTGTTAGGAAGGTTGAGAATCATTGTGTCAGAATAACCCAGGTGAAAGGCCATCATTGGCTTGAATCCAGGGTAGGGACAGAGGCATCTGATAAGTGCCTGATTTTGCCTTTATTTTAAAGCACTTGCTGATGAATAGGAGGTAAAGCACAGGAGATCTGTCAAGGATGACTCTGACAAGTCTGGCGGGGCCATGGCAAGGAGAGTGTGACATGCTTCCTGCCCCTGAAACAGAGCCAGGAGGTCATGGACCTCCATGTGTGTTGATGCCTGTTGTGGGCATAAGGTTTCTTTGTATAATAATGTATGTATTTTCATGTCCCTCCTTTAAATAATATCCTCTCTGCCAAGATTGATAACTCTATGATAGTCAGAGACAGAACAAGTCTGGGAGGTAAAAGTGTGGCTAATGTCTCAACAAAATGATAAACACTGAGACCTTAAGGCTGTGGGAAAAAACTCTGAAAACATGAGTTCAATAATATATAATTCCTCAACTATGCAAAATATAAGGATGCAATACGAATTATATAAGGAACTTCACAGATCTGAAAGAGTAGAGGCAGCTGTACAGTGAGTCATCTTGTCAGAAAGATATCAAAGAAGATGATAAAGAGATTTAGGGAGTGGTGATCAAAAGGGCAAGATCCATCCGCTAAGTTTTTTACTTGTGCTTTACAAAGGCAGGCAGATTCCTGAGTTCAAGCTCAGCCTGGGACAGAGGGAGTTTATGTCCAGACCCAGGTACAAGGTAGGAATGGTAATTTCAGGGCAAGGTCTCACCCAGGTATTGCCTGTGCTTAACAAAGGCAGGCAGATCTCTGAATTCTTTTGCAATGTGAAAAAAAAAATAGTGTTTGTTGTCTCCTTCTACACATCAAGGGACTGGGATCATGGGATGCTGATTCATGGGATAATCAAAAGGGGACCTGGGGTAACAATTGAATTGATATGTAAATAAAAGACTGGGATTTTGATCTGAAAGAGATCTGCAGAGAGTTTTAACAATAGCAAGAGAAAGCTGTCACAAACACCAAACATGCGCGTGCACGCCCGTGCCCACACCCCCCCGCGCGCGCGCGCGCGCATGCGCGCGCGCACACACACACACACACACAGAGAGATAGAGCGGGAGAGAGAGAGAGAGAGAGAGAGAGAGAGAGAGAGGAGAGAAAGCAGAGCATAGGTTGTTAGCTTTGAGTCGTTTGTTTTACTGATCTCAAACACCCCTTTCTCAGAACCCCTCTCCAACCTGAGTCTGATCCTATGACTCAGAGTCTTTGGCTACAGAACAGAAATGTCATTAACTGAAAGCGTGGGTGGGTATGACAGATGCAGCTTTTGAGAATGTATATTCTTAAGGGAATTTAGTTGTAGAGGTGTTGAAGTCTCAGACACTCGTTACATACTTCAGTTGAGACATGGATCAAGCAGTTATAGGTAGGAGTCTGGACTCTAAGGCAGAGGTCTGGGCAAAGGACCAGCATGGGGGAGATTAAAAGACCACAGATGAGAAGGGCTCCAGAGAGTGTGGAAAAGCTGCAGACAGTGGGTGTGGGAAACGAGGAGCAGCTAACAACGAAGGCTGAGAAGGAACCAAGGGAGTAGAGTAAGGGCCAAGAGAGTGACTTCCTGGAAGTCGGGGAAGAGCATGCCAGGATGAGGAAAGAACCAGCCTATGTTCAGTGTTACCCAAAGACAGATGCAACCGTAAGACTTAATGCTATGACAGTCACTGGGGTCTTGAGGAGAATCCTGACTGCACTGAGTTCAAGAGGAAGTGAGGAGGAAGAATTGTAGACAGTAAACATAGACTGCTCTTTTGAGGAGTTTTTCTATTTAAGGAAGCAGAGAGATGAGGTAATAGCTATGGAGATAGAGACAGGGTCAAAGGCAGATTGGGGGGGCTGTTTCTTTTCATTTTTGGTTTTACCCTTTAAGTAAAAAGGGGGCCCAAGCTACATCTACAGGGTCATGCAAGGTCACTGTAATTGTCCAGGGGACACTTCATTGATCCTAAGCAAACAGGGCTCCATTGTTACTCTTCTTTCTCAGGCCTGACCTTGCTCTGGGTTGACCCTTTAATGCCGCTGTGTTGGAACTTAACTTCCTGTCTATCACATGTCTTAATGCGACTGCCTTGAAAGCTCTATTCTGTCTCCCCCAGAGTCCTATCCTCTTGTCTCATCTGTCTTTCTTACTCTTTAATTTCCTACATGTCCTTTTTAGTTCAATATCTACTTTTTAGTTCAATATCTACTGTGAGCCCTTCATCCTCTCCACCATCCCCTAATTTATCCCCTGGGCCTATCTGCAACTCTTGAACTTCTTCCTTGATACCTTGGTAACTCTCAAAACAACATCCAACAACACCATTCAGCTACGAGCAGACTCCCAAGCTAAAGGTGACTCCACCTCTCTAAATCTCCAGTCATTTTGTAGGTTGGAATCATTTTATCAAAGGCTATTTCAGAGGGTGTATTCACTTGAAGCAGGGCATGAGTTCTTACAGTGAGCAAGGGGGCAAACCAAAGGTAATTCTGAAGAACTGACAGGTCCCATATTGACTGAGCAGCAGGTATGTCTGCTTCAGAATCCCTAACTTTGAAGGCCTTAGCCTTTGATCTAGCAATTCAATTTCTAGAAATTTAGAAAAATGTAGCCATTTGACACGAACAGTATGTCAAAAGTATTTATCACACAGTTCACCATGATTATAAAATACTGTAAACATAGCAAGTTATCAACAGTAGAGAATTGCTAGATAGTCCACAGCCCATTAATTCCAAGGAATATTAGTCATCGACCTTGTGATGCAGAGGTTAGTCATTGAATAGTGTCAAAAGGAGCTCATGACACAGTCAACAATCAAAATCACCACCTACAGGCATCACATCTGTATAAGACACAAATGGAGGCCCTAACATAATTGTAATAAATTAATACACTCCCCACTAACTCCTTAAAATGTTAACTAACAACTTTGTATTCTTTATTTTTCATCTGAGTCTCTGATATAGTCTTGGTTTGTCTCAAACTCACTATTGTTTGCATTTTTGTTTGCTTTGGTTTGGGTTTGTTTTGTTTGAGACAGTCTCATATGGCTCAGGCTTAACTTGAACTCCTGATCCTCTTGTTTTCACCTCCTACGTGCTGGGATTAGAGGCGAATGCTACCACTCTTGGCTTATTTTATTCTGTTTTACTTTATTTTATTCAGTGTTTCAGTCTCTGGCCTAAAACAGACAGGAACTCACTATGTACCCCAGGCTGGTCTTGAACTTGTGGCAGTCCTCTACTTTATAGATTACTGGGATGGGCTGTATTGTTTAATTTAGAAATTACAAACAAGTAATTTGCCAAGGAGTGCAGTTCAAACAAAAGAATCAGATAGAGTTGCCCAGGCAACAGATGGAGGAATGGAGTTCGTGTCCTCTTGTATCGTAGTGTTACTTCTAGGAAGCAACTTATTGGCAGCTAGAGAAGCAAGCACAGGGTTACTTCTAGCCAGTGAGATGTTAGGGGAGTTCTGGAAATAATTTTTCCTCCTTAGGTGAGGTAAGCACACAAAGAAAAAAAAAAGTGTGTTCCATATTGCACCTTGCCACATCTTTTAGATGTCAATATACCAGATGCAATGCTTAGAACTGCCATGGCAACCAGATTGTCATCATAAGAGAATATCCAGAGGAATCATAATAACCAAAACCTGTCACAGATGTGAGACAATGATACCCATAAGGGTCACATAACGTATCATTTGTTGGGTCATTTGTTATCTGTTATTTAAAGCTAAAATAATTTTTAAAAAATATTTTATTTATATTTTATGTATATGAGTGGTTTTTTGCATGTTTGTAAGTGAACTGCTTGTGTGCAGTATTTGCAGAGACCAGAAAAGGGCATCTGACCCCTTGGGACTGGAGTTATAAATGGTTGGGAGTCACTATGTGGGTGGTGGTACCCAGGTCCTCTGGAAAAACAGCCAGTGCTCTTAACCACGGAGCCATTTTTCCATCCCTTCAAGTTACTTTTACCTGATAAAGAAAATAGGAAAAAACATTCTTGGCCACCTTCTTAGACTATATAGCACTGAACTAGGGGATCCACGTACAAGGTGACAAAGAGTTAGTATAGTCATGAGGAGGGAAAGGCATACAGCTGAACCACACACTCCTGAGTGGCTGTGATGGCAAAAGGTGCCATCAACGGCAGTACAGGAAGATTACCATGTGCCAGCCCTAGCAGGAGAGTGACAGGGACCTTTTATTAAATGTTCAATGTTTAAGTCATGGTAGGCACTCAGCAAATTGTAATCATTATGACTGTTTGAGGATGTGTTAGAGATGCTATAATCTTCCGGTAAACATTAGGTGATACAGGAGATTTCTGGTTCACGCTCTTTTCTCAGCTGTCCCATGGAGGCAGGAGAACATGCTCAAAGGAAAGGATGCCAACGCTGGAGCCAAACAGAGTCTACTTGCTTTTGCACATCACATACCTTTAAGCTGAAACTCTGACAGACATAAGGATACCTTCCTGCAATGCTGCTGTGAGTGACAGGTGGTACATGGAAAGACTGATTAACTTCCAGACAGCCTCTCTTTCCTCTTTCCTAACAAACTCACGGGGGTCCAGCCATCTTTACCAGCTAAATGAGGAAACCAGGAACAGAGCTTGGTGGCATTTCTGAGGTCTCATAACAAGTGATGCTCAGAGACACTTGTCATTTGTACTCAGCATTTCATCAAATTCCAGGTAGGTTTCTCTCTCTCTCTCTCTCTCTCTCTCTCTCTCTCTCTCTCTCTCTCTCTCTCTCTCTCTCTTTAAAGATTTATTTATTTATTTATTTATTTATTTATTTATTATATGTAAGTACACTGTAGCTGTCTTCAGACACCCATATGAGGGCATCAGATCTCATTGTAGATGGTTGTAAGCCACCATGTGGTTGCTGGGATTTGAACTCATGACCTTTAGAAGAGCAGTCAGTGCTCCTAACCACTGAGCCATCTCACCAGCCCAGGTTTCTCTTTTCTTAACGTGTGTGTGTGTGTGTGTGTGTGTGTGTGTGTGTGTGTGTTTACATATGTAGGTGATTTTATCTATCACATCAACATAAGTGGAATTCTGAAGTTCTGAACTTCTCTGCTTCTCTTTAGAGGAGTGATCCTCTGTAGACAGTAACTGCAAGGTTTTTTGTTTGTTTGTTTGTTTTTCCATAAATTTATTCATTCACTTTACATCCTAGTCACTGCCCCTCTTATGACCTTACCTCAGAATTCACATATCATCATTGTGTAAGTCAGTTGACACTATGTATCTCCTAACAGAGGGCTTAAGGATTTAGATTGTTGGTTTGTCAAATTGACACACACTAGAATCACCAGGCAAAGGAGTCTCGGTGAGGGATTATCTAGATCAGAGTAGCCGGTGGACAAATGTGTATCGGATTGTCTTGATGATGTTAACTGAGATGGGGAAACCTGCTCACTGTGGGTGGCACCATTCTCTACACAGGGGGTTTCTGAAGTGTTTTTCCAAGTGGAGAAAGGGAGTTGAACACTGACATACATTAATTCATTGCTCTCTACTTTTGACTGGATGTGATGTGACTAGTAACTTCAATTTCCTGCCCACCTCGACTTCCCTGCAATGCTGTAAATTATAAATATGAGGTGAATAGACCCTTCCTCTAGAAGCTGTTTTCGTCATTACGTCTTATCACAGCAACAGAAACTGAAGTTAAGACAGGGCTCTAAGGGGACCACAGATTTATGCGTCAAGGTCATGAAGTTACACACTTTATACTGCTATTTGGAGCTGATTCTCGGATCTCCCTCCATTCTGTAGATCTACCTGTCAGCTCTCAGTTTAGAGACCAATCAGAAGGGCCCAGACTATCTGAACCTACTCATTTTTGGGGGGTCTGATGACATCGGCCAGGGTCTCAGGAAAGCATGTGTGCATCACAATGGGCTCACCAAGTGCTGCATAGCCAGTCGGATCTGCTCATCATCCTGTTGCCTCTCATCAGTTTCTCATTTAAAATTTTAATATAGCAGCCATCTGTTTCCTTGGTTGCCCTTTCCACTGTCCTAGTTACTTTTGGTTAAGAAAGGCAAGTAGAACAGAAGACATCCTGAGACCACACTCATAGAACTTTAGTTTTGAGACAGGGCATTGCTATGTAGCCAAAGCTGGCCTTAAAATCACAATTTTCCTGCTCCAACCTGTAATTGTGTTTATATTAGCCACTCACTGCATCTAACTCATAAATGAAACTTTATCACAGGCATGTGCATATAGGTAAAAACACTGACAGTGTGGAATGTCTCCTTCCAATCCAAGCCATTTTTCTCACCAATTCATTTTACGAATTACCTGAATTAACTAGTTACTGTCTTTCATTCGTCTTGAAAGTCATTGGTTTCTACATGCTAAGACTTGGCAAATAAACCCATTTCTAGCTCCTTTCTAGACAGCCCGTCTATTTTTAGCATGCGGTGCAATGGTGCTATGCCTTCATGGTCACGTTGGCTTCATGCACTGGATAGATGTCATCCTCTGCGGAGGTCCTCCCAAGGTCTGGATCAAAGAGCTTCAGGATATTGTTTCTTGGTGGCGGCACTGTCCCAGCTATCATTGGGACAGGATAGTGGTGTTTCATTTCCCAGATTGCTAAATGATTCTCCAAGGCTGGGTGCCATGAACTCCATGACGTAGGGACGGACCTAAGTGGGGCAATTGGGAATGAAGAACAGAAAGACACATTCGCAGAAAAGCCAGGGTTGGGTGGGACATGTGCACTGATAGAAACACGCCAGCAGAAGCCTGGAAACTCAGCACATTTATTACATAAGCACAAGTCAGGAGTTTATTAATCTCAGTCTCTGTAGGGATGAAGTCTCAGGCTGCATTCATCAGTGACAGTTGATACTTTTATGCACACACACACAGTCAACATCAATACGTGGACCAGAAAAGGGCCTCACCATTCCCATGTGTCTGAGGCACTGGGCTCCTTCAAGGTTGTGCTGATGTCAACAAAACACATTCATTCAGGACTCCCCTGCTCCTCATACTCAAGGGCCCATTGATACCCACTTTCCCCATCCCCACTTTTTGGTTGTTGTTGTTGTTTTGAAACAGGGTGGTCTGCCATGTAGCCCTACCTATCCTAGAAGTCATTATGTAGACCAAGCTGGCTTTAAACTCAGACAGATCTGCCTCCTGAGTGCTGGAGTTATCAGATCTGTCATGTCTCTTTTTACGGGTTTTAGTGGGACTGCCAAACATACTCCTTTTATTTTATCTGATTGATTGATTGATTGATTGATTGATTGATCAAAGTGACTACTTCAAAGAAAAATAAATTCCAGGGGGCAGGCTAGGGGCGAAGCTTAGTTGGTAGAGTGCTTGCTTTAGCATGCATAAAGTTCTCAGGGTTCCATCACCAGCATAGCACAAACAAGCCATGGGAGCACGTGAATACTCTCAGCATTCTGCCGTTGGAAGGATTAGAAAATTTAAGGTCATCCTTCTCTATATAGCGAGTAAAATCCAGGAGGAATTTACCAGCATCTGGAATTGTTTTCAGGGGAAGTCAGATAGAAGCTCCTTTCCATCTAGTCAGAAAACTAATAATGAAGTTGGAACTGCCTCCACCCCATGACTGTACCCAGTAGTCAAAAATGTAGTCAAACAAGACCACAGAGCCAAGAATAAGATAAATACAGCAGAGAAAGTTTGAGTTGCTAGATTTGCTCCTGTCTAAGGCTACTTCCAACTCTTTTTTTTTTTTTTTTTTTTTTTTTTTTTTTGGTATGTCTCCACACAAGCCAAGAATGTTGAGTTTCTCACTAAAGGAGCCTTCAAAGGAGTAACTTTCTAGAGCATCACTGCATTGTGAAGAACCAATCCCTGGAGCAGAACATCCTGAGAGAAAGCAACACAGGGCTGCAAAGCATAGTGAAGATCCAGAAAGAGTGGGCTGGCCAAAGCGAAACAACAACATTTTGGGGAGGCTGGCAGCCGCCTTAGCTGGAAACTGGGAAGCAGACTCTCTTGGTACCTTAGGGAAGCAACTTGACATTCTCCAAAGATCTGAAATGTCCCTTCTTACAACCAACAGCACTATTCAAAACAGCATCGTTCTTTCACTCTGGTAAAAAGCTGGCAAGAATCTCACAGACTTGCATCAATAGAGAACTGGATACATACATTCTGGGGCTATGTGCAAGCTCACACAGTCTTAGGTTTTTTACCTAAGACTATATAAAGCCACGTATGTTTAGTATGTGCAGAGAAACAAGCCTGCATTTGTTTCATTGATAAAAAGAGGACAGAATGCCTGAGTCAGGGCAATAGTTCCCATCCTATAAAAGGTGACAAGAGAAAGCCTCACAGAACAAAACAAAGGACCAAAGGAAGAGAGTAAGGAAGCCAACATCTTTTGGGGAAAGGGTCTTCCAAGCACAAGGACTACTGAGCAAGAAGTGCTAAGGCTGAAGGGATGATGTTGGGGCCCTATACTGTGGTGACAACTAGCCACCAGCTGAGATCAAGGGTAAGGCATAGTAAAGGCAGAGCTTGTGGGTTCGTTCCACAACCAAGAGAGTGTATGACCAGTTTCACAATGATCACTTTGGTTGCCTTGTCATGGCTGGGGGATAGTAGGCAAGGGAGAAACCACCAGGCCAGCTACAGTTACTGCAGTGATCTGGAAGAGCATAGTTAAGAGAAAAAAAAAAATGGTCACCAAAGTACAAGCGGTTGGGTTCTAAATGTTGTTTGAAAGTGGGATGATGGATTTGGACAGGATGGACAGGATGGACAGGATGGACAGGATGGAGACACAGAGGAAGGTTAGCAGGCCCGTGAAATGCCCACAATGGAGAATGGCAGACTCTGGAAGGCACTAGTCTCCCAACTGCCTGGTACAAGCTACTACTTGCAGGACAGGCCGAGGGGGAGGAGGCTTGAGGTTTTTCTTTTTTGAGGATCCCCTGTATATACACAGCAGACTCCACTGGAATGAGATGTCAGCTCACAGCCATAGGATGGCTGCAGGGGAGGTAGTGGGGGGAGAGCAGGGGCTGGGATGTGAACTGAGTGTTTTGATATACTTGATATGAGGAGAAAAACCAAGCACCTCACCACAGCAGAAAACACACAGTCCCTCTTGATCTTCAAATACTAAACACTGTTTTCTCATGCTTTGAGGAGCAGACTGAGACTTATTATACATGGTTCATAATGTTTCATTGTGGCTCTTGAAGACACAGAATCATTATTTTTGTTATCAGAACAAGTAACATACTTTAATCAGTTTACCAAAGAACACAGCTACGCTACCGAGAAAGCAGTGTAGGAGGAAACCAGGCGGCCACTGGCTTAGAACAGAAGGCAGAAGCAGGGGCAGGGCCTCACAGGAAGAATGGACCAATGAAAGGCAAGAACACAAAGGTGCCACACAATTCCGAATAAAGTTTATTAAATAATATGTACAGCAAAGTAGTAACTCAACATGTCTATCAAATCAATCCACTGCAATAAGGAAAAAAAATGAACAGAAAAACCTGTGTCTGCATAGTACATGCGCTTGGTGTGCGATTTAAATGCAATACCTTAATAGGTTACATAGATCAGTTTTATTTATTCTCAATAATATCTTTTTTTGGTAGTAACCTATTCCAGCAATATGACTTAATACTACTGCAGATAAACAGAACTGCAAAAAGAAAACTGTAAATGATATTATAGTTGTCTTCCCCAGAGAACAGCTGAATATGTTAACAATTTCCAAGGACTATTTTTTGTGCTAAAAGTCTGCAGGTGAAATATTCGAAATTCCTTCATTTAAATAAAAGTGTGTGTGTGGGGGGGACCCTTCATGACTTCCTCAATTTACTCCCTTTCTGCTCAAGTTTTAAAAATTATTTTTCTATACAAGGTAGGTACATGGGCTACACAAAGTTTAATATACATTACATATTTACAGTCCCACTTCTCAAACACGTGATTTTTTTTTTTCTTTTCCTGATCCCAGAGAGACTGCAAAAGGTGAGTAGTCTGGAGCTTGCCTTTACCTGGAAGCATGACTAAATATATCAAAACGAGTTGCACGGCATGCTGCCAGTTAGTTGCGCTCGCTGTTAATAAACCTGTATAAACATTTCAGCATAAAAATAGGTACTTTATATTACTAAATGTCTGATGACAAAAGAGTAACTGGAAACCTTCGCTCTCTTTGTTTTTCATACGCCGGAAGCGGGAGAGATTTTTTTTTAAAAGATGGGCATACCTGGGTTTGGAGAGATACTCAGTGTGAGGATTGCAGGGGATGCGAACCTTTTATAAAATGGTTTTATTTTCTAGCTGTATTTAAAGGGGTGTTCGACATTACCTACTTAATCAAAAAACACCCCTCAGGAAATTTAGATACAATCGCACTAGTCATGGTTGGCATCTAGGAGAGAGCAAGGACTGCATTCCAAATGAGTAAAAATGCACACCGGCATTTTAATTTATTGTTCCTATGTTCCCTTCGAGAGGGGCAAAGACAAAAAAGAAAGCAGTGCGGCTGGCTGGGGGAAGCTGCGCTTGCAAAGCAGCAGGTCAGACTCCCAGGTCTTTCTGCCCAGGAAGCTTCTAGCCCTTCAGTTCCATTCCATTTTCCCTTGGGATTAAAGGCTCTGCTCTGTCTCCGTTAAAAGGCATGTCTCCAGGAAGAGACAACATATTTACTTCCCCATCCGCCATTTATATTTCAGTGTGAATCAATCCATGGCAGTTTCTTTCCTGAGAGCCTCCTCGGAGAATTGTGGTTGGCAGGTGATGGTTGGGGATGGGGGGAGGCAGTCACTGAAGACAAATGTTGCCAACTTGTGAAGACTCCAGACTTTGGGATAGTGTAGTGGTTAGGGTGGTTCTGAACTACATGCAGAGAGCCAGGGATCCAGTGCATACCCCTCTCACCTACAATTCCTGGTATCTGTGACCCTGGTGCATGTATTTGTGGGTAGAAGAATACCAGACTCTGGGGAAAAAAAATTCCCAGTATTTTCAGACATAAACTACCCTCAGACAAATGTTCTCCGAGCATCCCAGTTCTTCAGAAGTGAGCTGAGGGAGAGGAAAACCTGACTGTTTTCTAGGATCCCCCTCATGAGAAACACATCCCTTCCTCTCACACCCTCTGCACATATCATAGTCTCTCTAGATTGGGCTTCTTCTCTTATGTTGTCCACTCGGCTGAGGTCCTGGAAAGCTCGGTTCTGGGAACAAGCCACACTTATCTCTGTGTCAATTAGAAATCTAACAGAGAACCAGAGTGGTGACTAACCACCTAGGTGTCAAAAGGTCCCTTCCTCACAACCAGGGCTCACAGAGGACAGCCTCACAGCTGCCACCAGGAGAATTGCTGCCTTGCACCCAGGCCAGTGTGTAATACTTGAGCTCTGAATGGAGGCCTCACCATGTGCACCAGGACTCCCTGGCCTGGGGTGGAGAGGAGGAGGGGAAGAAGGACTAGAGGAGATAACATTCTGGGTGGCATTCCAACTCCACAAACAACACAGGAGGCACTGAGTCCCTCCTAGGTCTGAGAGTGTCTTACCCATGGTGCCCCTGCAGCCAGCTTGCTAAGAGAGCTACTGGAGACCAGGCTGTATTCTATGGGTTCAAGTGTATCAAGTCCATACTAAGCCAGAAAAGAAAGGCACAGCCAACCCTGGCTAGCCAGTCGTGGTGACCAGGACCAGGGAAAGAACACACTCCAAGTGACTTCCAGAGCCCCAAGGTGGCTGGCTTAATCATGTGGAAACACAAGTGTAACCCATCTGCCTGACCACCTGCTCCCAAGCTCAGGACAAACACGGCATGGTTTTCTGTCTGAATATCAGTGCAGTAAAGGGCCAAATCACCCAGAAGGCTAAATGCTAGGGCACCTGGTCTGCCACCATTTCTTCACCCGGACCTCATCAAGTCATGGTGCTGAAGGAAAATGTCAACAACCCAGACCAGCCTCTAGCAGCACTTGAGGCCTGCTGGCTCTGGGCTAGCCAGGAACACAGGCAGCGGTTGATGATGCTCGGGCTTGGGGCTTGTGGAACATGGATTCGGACTGACTCATCTAGCCCCAAGGGACACCTTTGAAATGGGAGTGGGTAAAAACCGGGCACATGTTTTGGCTAATGTTGCTCAAGGACACTACTCCAGATCAGATTCCCCAAGCATCAGGGGCTAGAGAAGCAGCCATGTAAATACAGATGTCTTCAGCAGATAGTTAATCCCTGATACACAGTGGGTTTTAAACATACGTCTCTGTTCCTTCTTTGAATTCTTTCTTTACCAACTGCATTAGTTTTCCTACTGACTCAATATTTATTTAATAAAGAGACCAGTTCATGAATGATGCTTCATCCTCTGATAAAAAATAATCTCTGTGCTTCTCAGTCTTCTTATAGATATAAAGGTTTTACATAGTTGCCTGGAAAAGTACCAAACTGCCTCGTCCTTCTCGAAGTGCCTGGAAGAAACATAACAAGCAAACAAAAGCAGACACAAAGTGAGAAGGCACATACAACTGAGTTCAGAGAAAATGCTGGAGATTCTTGATAGTCCCCCTTGGGTAACAACCTCATACTGTGATTTGCAAAGCTGTATCATTTGGGCTACAAAATGATGGGGAGTGGTAAGGAGGATCCAGGCTCAGAGTTTAAACTTCTCAGGTTCCCAAGTTTAACAGATGTTGGAGGTAGAATCTGAACCCAGGTCTTCTGACCCCAGCCCTATTGTTCTTCCCAACACTCTGTCCTTGCTGATGAAAAATTCCTGGGGGCTGGAAGATTGATTTTTACATGTCTCATCATTCCTAGTCCTTCTTCCAATACACTACTAGGAAGAAAAGCATGATGGGATTCTTACCAACAAACCATCCATCGTCACATTTTTCCATGACATCAACAATATCTCCATCACGGAGTTCCAACTCATCATCGTTCTGTGGCACATAACTATATAATGCTTGGTAGCTGCATCTACAAACCAGAGAGAGGAACAGCGAGTGACTCAGTTGCTGACAGGACTTGATGACCATTTACAACTCCCAACACTGTGAGCTCAACATTGACGTAGTGCTTCCCATCAATGTTGAAAACATCTCATTGACTATTTCTCTAGCAGTTCAGCATTAGAGAAATGCATTAAATCAATTAAATCCAATAGAGGTGGAGGGATTTCTGATGATCAAGTAATAGTTAATCTTAATTAGTTTTTTTTTCTCGTTACCATGGGAAACCTTTATTGTCTACAGCCTCTCCCTAACCTCTATACACTTTACTGCCTTGAAAGTTAACCACACCCCTTTTTATAATAGGATAATATAGGTAGATAATTAAGAATAATAAGCAGTTATTTAGTTCCAGGGTTATTAAATTCTGGTCATAAAGATTAGAGAACAAAAGGCAATTATAAAGACAGGTGATAGATATGTACAGGCAGAAAACTGTATAAAAATGTATATTTCCAGACATATGGACTGGCTCATGTTTGTGTTCTTAGCACATAGGAAGCTGAGGTAGGAAGATGGTCACTGAGTCTTAGGCCATTCTGTGCTACACGCTGAGCTCCTGGCTTACAGAGTAAGACCCAGACAGGTCAAGGACATCACAAGCAAACCCAGACTCAACAAACCTTACCTCACAGGGGCTCACCAAGACTGAAACAACAACCAGGGTGCCTGCATGGGTCTAACCTAGGTTCTCTGCGTATATGTCACAGTTGTGTAGCTCAGTGTTTTGTGGGACTCCTAGCAGAGGGAGCAGCAGCTATTTCTGACACTTTTGCCTGTTTTGGGACCCAGGGGTGGAGGGAGGGACTGGGAAAAGAGGGAGGGAAAACCAGGGCCTGGATATAATATATGAGAGAATAAATTAATAAAACGTATCAAAACCCCCAGAGCAATAATAATTAAAACTAATGCACATTCCCAATGTTTCGCTGTGTGGGGCCCTTTTCTGAACACCCCGAAAACTTTCTGTTCCACCCAAGGATAGCTGCAGAAAAGGTTTTATTGACTTGCTCTTTGGCCTAGGACGTCTGGTTTGTGCTGTCCTGTGCTCTGATAACACTGAAGCTCATTGTGAAGCCAGCATCAGCTTCGGCATCAAGGGAGAGCTTTGTTTTCATTCCTCCCTTACCAGGTGCTTTTGGGGCATCTAATGTGCACCGTCAATGTCACAATTTAGAATATTCATCATTTTAAAATGCCACAGTAGCACCAGAATTTTGTAAATGAGCCATCAAGTGCCATTTCCAGTAATGGCAGTGAATTCCAATACGGAGAAAGAGGGACTAGATGCAGATAAACGGCGCTGGGTTCCAGCACCAACAGGCTTGTGCTGAGTGTCACACAGAGGACACTGTTTTCATCATTTGTCCCAATGTGTTGAGATTTTGGTGGAAGAATTTGGCTGTCAGTGGGAAGGTCTCTAATGAGTAATGAAAGAAATGAAGATAGATTTCAGGTTGGTAAGTGAATACCTTGTCTCTTTTTTTCTGTATTTATTTCCTACCTAGCTTGGATTCCTACAGCTGGCTGTGGAATACATGTATGTCCTCACTAGCTTCTGAAACTGCCCATCCTCTTAATTTCCACCATAACTGCTTTGCTAGAGCACATTTTGGAAAATGACTCTATTTGTCTGTATGCAAATGGTGGAGAGAGACTGGAGAAAATACACACCCTTGTACCCTTGGTCTCACTTAGCTCTAATGGTCTCCGGTAGCTCAGAAACTCCCCAGTTGAGTTCCTCTGCTGGTTCTGCCACTCTACTCTCAACAGAATGTCTCATATTCTGTCCCCAACTTTCTACAAAACCTTAATCTTCCTCCTCTCCAGACCCAAGTCTGTTTCTCTTTGTCGTCCTGTTCCTGTTCCTGTGTACCCCTCTCCTGGCTGTGCTGAGCCCTCTCCCCTTACAGCCTCTCACATGGATCTTTCAATTTTTTCACCTCCTTCTTTAGCACAAATATGCCGAAGACTCTGCCCTGTCTCCAGTGGCCCTTGATCTACTGTCTCCCACCCAACCCCACCCCATGCATCATCAAACTTCAGCCCTGTCTAATGGAACACCCACTACTGTTACACAGTCACCAGTCATTCCTCATGCTGCCAGAGAGAATGCCCAGTGATCCTTTCTCCTTTTCTACTCCTGGTCTCTGAAAGGCAGGCAATACCATTGGCCAGATGTTATAGGCTCTGTTTTATAAAAGTGAGCATTCCTAGACCCATGCTTGTTCTTGCTGCTCTTTCTTGTTCTCCTTCGCTCACTCTTTCTCTTTAACCTGACTCTCTGTTGGTAATCTTATGCATTTCCATGGTTACATTAAGTCACTCTGTTCTAGCTAAGGCTACCATGACTGACTTCATTTTTCCTAACCAACATCTTTGTCCCTCGTTTCTGAATCCCACACTCCATCTGCTGCCACAGTCATCTCTCTAGAACAGGCACAATCAACGTACGACTCACTTTAAAAGCCTTCGGTGGCTTCCTGGTGCCTTCAGAATAAAATCCAAACCTATCTCAGCTGCAATTAGAATCTGGTCTCATCCTAACACCTTAACTTTCATCTCTAACCTAACCTCCATGAACCATGTGCTGGTCACACAAGCCTTCCTCAGGGTCTCCAAACTACCTACTATAGCCATACCTCCTTCTTAAAGCTTGGTTCAATTCACTTTACTTCTTCTATGAAAAGAATTTTCTCCTGTGTGTATAAACCACAAGACGTATCCAAAAATATTTTTGAATGAATGAGTGAATGATCAACACTGTTCATCTATTTCTGCTCAGAAGGAACTGTTCCTTTCTTTCTGCTCTCCACAGCACTGATATTGAAACTTGTTAGCACAGCTCTCATTTCCCCTTGTATAGTCATTAGCGCTCTCTCTCTCTCTCTCCCTCTCTCTCTCTCTCTCTCTCTCTCTCTCTCTCTCTCTCTCCCAGGAGTCCATGAACTGGTTTATTTACCTAGCACCTATCTTCATGACTTAAAGGAAATATGGCCTTCCCTAGAAATCCCCAAAGAGGCAGGAAGCAATTAGCTCATCCTCCTGCCCCCAAACAGCTGTGACGTCAGCTAACCATCCATTTTCCAAGGCAGAAAGTCCACCAATGACATTTGAACCAAATTTCCCAGACTGTACTTACAAATCCTGTGAGGGCTGACTCCTGTCTGGGGTGACTCTTCGCTGCTGGGCTTGAGGTTGCTGAGAAATGATTAAAGATGATTTATTGTCAGAAGGGGATACCTTGTGATGGAAGTCAAGGGGATGAGAGACAGTGCTGCAGTAATGAACAGATTTCTCGGCAATGTTTATGATCTCATTGCAAACCGCTTCCTGTGAGGTGGCCCCGAGGTATCCAGAAACCCCCATAAAACAGTCAATGTGGGGACAAAAAAAAAAAAAAAAGAGAGAGGAAGAGATGTAACATTCCAGACGAAGCACGTAAGTCCAGGGAGAAAACAGAGTTGAAGATCCAGGTTAAAAAAACAAAGGAGAGAGATTCCAGTGGTAGAGTGCAGGAGGGATCCAGGTAAGCATGGAAAGACAGGTAAGATACAGAGGAATTTGGCATTTAGTATGACTTTTTAAAAGGCAGCAGCATAACAGCCTGTAATTAGTGTATAACTGTTATAGCTGAAATAATCTCTGGCTGCAAATGCAACAATGTATCCCCAGTCATGCACTAGCACACCATTTAATCCCACCTGCAGGCAGAGTGGAACTGTCTCTAAATTCCTCCTCTCCTGTAGAGGCACAGAGGACGGAGGGTGGCCAAATCCCTGGCTCTACTACATCAGTCGTGGGCTCTTGCAAACCACAGCGGGCTGTTTACCAGGAGTTACTCTGGTCTACACGCTGTAGTCAGTAAGGGTGCTCTTTAGGAAAGCCACAGTCTTATTCAACAGGCGTCTTACCACATAGTTCTTTTCAGATTCTGTGAGATCAGGTCCTGCGCTCAATGAATGATGAGAAGGCTGTGATCACCAAGCAAATCATAAGGAAGACATTTTAGCAGATGTCACATTGGAAAGGATTCAAAGAAAAAGCATGAGCAAATACACGTACCACGCCACCACATTCAGATGACACCAGATATTTGCGGCCCACGGCCACTGGGTTTCCATGACAACATGGCAGATGCACAGGAGAAAATGCAGATGTACAGAATTAGAAGCAAGCATCCAGCAATGGAATGGGAAATGGGAAACGTGGTGGGAGTGAGGTGAGGACAACACGGGGTCCTCGGACTGGCGGGAGACACAGGGAAAGTCTGCCTTTACAAACAGAACTGTGGTACCCACCCCTGACCCTGCACCCTCACACCATTCTGAACCCTCCAATCTCAGTGAACATATTTCAAAGGAAGGGCTACTGTATTGAAGGTAGTTTCAGGTTTTGGGTGATGGGGCGCCAATGGTGGAACCATCAAGACCACCACCCTGGGGCACTCACAGAGACTGAATAATTTACTATTGAGATATTCCTGGGTAATAGATAATGTCTGAAACAAGACCACGTCCTCAAAAGAATCTACACATGACTTAGTCTGGTGAGGTATGGAGTGAGTTTCAGAGCAGTGTGTCCTGAGAGAAACACAGCAATGAATCACCTCTCGTATCACCAGCCTAGGGGAGGCCATGCAATGAGACCATGCAATGTAGACCTTCTTTTTAAGTTGGGCTCCCATGAGGGGGTCAAGCATCTGTTGGAAGAGAGTTTGGAATCACTTTCTCCAGAGAGAATTCAATTCCAAGTTCTAGGAGGTCTCACTGAATGAATACTTGGAAGTCCACCTTTGGAGTCACCCTCCAGGTAACCTGTGATGATTACAACCGCCTCACGGTCTTTTAAGAAGGGCACTTAGAAATCCTCTTTTGTGCAGGCCACACTTGTTTCAGAGAGAGCCAGAGAGACGGTGAGGTCACATAGGCAGTGCAGTGGTCTGGCTTCTGCCACTGTCCTGTTTGACCTCTTTCACACACCACCACCTTCCACATATCCTTATCAGGTGTGCTGACATAATCATCAATGATTACACCACCCCCCTCCCCCCCCAAAAAAAACCAAAAAACAAAACAGGAGTCAGGCAGGATGTGCTGATCACACTGTTCTCCTAAAAACGTGTGCCCTAAGGTGGGCCGTGCACACCTCAGGATCACACGGCCCACTGGTGAGAGGTGAACTGCTTGGTTGTTCTGACAGTTCTGCCACGTCACCCTTCTTGCTCATTTCCACTGCAGATGTCCTCACCTTGTTGCATGCTCAGCAGAACAGTGCACCAGGAATCACTTTCCTATGCATTTTATTATTTTATTTTTAGTTTTATTTATTTCTATTTTATGTGTATGGATATCTTGCCTGCGTGTATGTCTGTTTACTATGTACATGCAATACCTGTGAAAGTCAGAAAAGATCATCCAACTACCTTGGGATTGGGGTTAGTGAGAGTTGTTAGCTGTGATGTGGGCACTGGGACCAGAGGTAAGCAAGCTCCTCTGGAAGAGCAGTCAGTGCTCCTAACTACTGAGCTCTCTCTCCAGCCACCCTCACTGTTATTTTTGAGACACTCCTTCAAGTTCTCTAAAAAGCCTTTCCTAGTCTCTATCACTGAAATCCATCCTCTTGGCCTCTATTCCAGCAGTAGAGGAGTAAAAGACAAAACTGAAGGGTCCTCTCATGCTGCTGCTTTGATGTCTGGGGTTCTTCAAGCCTCTGCCAGCTGGCTGGAGTTAACTTTGTGCCTCACCCACCAACCACCTTGCTCCTGGGCCTAGGTTTCCATGTAACAGAGGAGGAAGTGGACATTTCCAAGTACATGCTATACAGGTATCCAGAAGAAAGAAGCTAACTCTGCACACCTTGTCTGTGGGATACTGATTCAGTGACATGACAGAAGAGACAGCTTTCTAAAGCAAGTGCTATCCAACAGAAATGGCTGTCTGTCTGAGAGATGGTGGTATCACCTCCACTGGCCAGCCAGTCAGGGTACCGAAGGATAGTATGTCACCCAGGACCCTATCAAAGCACAGACTCTGACTTTGTTATCTGGGCTATGCCAGACTCTGGCCACTGCTGACACTTCTTGTTCTCAGCCTGACACTGGAAAGTAAGAGAGTAGAGGAACTCAAGTGAGGTCTTCTGGCCTCAGTATGCCTAAGACTGGTCTGGGCCATACCTCATGACAACGAAAGTTCTCATTAAAAACAAACAGTCCAAGCTCCAGTTAATGGCCTGATGACCTCAGGCCAGAGCAATACAAGAAGAATGTGGAGACCTCTTGGGATGGTGCCCACAGCTTTAAAAAGCCCCTGGCATCCTTGCTGTGGCTGGAACCAATCACCTGAGAAATAATATACAGCTCTAGTGAGGATCTGGGAACCAAAGGTGGTAAGATGGAGCTGCTATTTATAAGAACATCAAGGTCTAATGGCTTCCACCCTACTTTTTACTAACCTTTGACTACGAGAGGCTAGAGGAGGGAATTTTAAGATCTAGTGAGACTGGGGACTTGCACAAACGCTGTGAGTGCAAGAGCTCAGCCCATCCCCTCGGTCAGGCTAAGATGGCTGACATCATGTTTCTAATCCCCAATTTATACCTCTTCTAAAATGGACCCTCTGCCTCTCTTCCTGAATGTTTTACTTTAGGTCGTTGGTTCTCAATTTTCCTAATTCTATGACCCTTTGACACAGTTCCTCATGTGGTGGCCCCCAACCATAAGATGATTTCATTGCTACTTCACAACTGAAATTTTGCTAATGTTGTAAATCATCATGTAAATGTCTGATACTTGAATCAGAATGTAAATGTCTGATATTCATGATATCTGATACTCGACCCCTGTGGGGGTTGAGAGCCACAGGTTGAGAACCACTGCTCTAGATGCTCAAAGCCATTTCCTCCTATAGACGGTGTGCCATTAAAAATAGCATCTGGTATTAAACCCAGGAGTACTAGAGGGCTATCAGTGTCTCAGCAACTCCTCTGGTCTCTGGCCACGGCCAAAGCAGAAGATAATCATCATCTTACTCTAACATCCAGAGAGTACAGACAATCCCAGTCCTGAAGGTAGAGAAGTCGGTTCCCCACTTAGTGCTGGATAAATGAAGGAAGTAGTCAGGTAAATATTATCAGATTCTGTTTCTCCTTGTTTAGATTTGGTAAAATAGCTCATATAGCTGGAATGTAAACGTATTGGGGTGGGAGAGCTCACATGTAGCTGGAAACCACTGACACCCATTACCTGGATCAGCCCTTCAATTGGAAGGCTGTTTATCCTCAAAGGGTTTTCTCCCTCTAGGCACATGGTCTCACTTTTCCTGTCCCGCTTTCTAACACGTGCCAGCTCTGCAGTTCCTCCTCTGAGCCTGCGCTGTCTGAGCCTCAAGGATGAAGTGAAATGTGCTACGACTGAAAAACAGACACTGGTTCTCAAAATCTTGGTTCAAAATAAAAAGATGTAAAATAGATCATTAAATAAAATTGTAATATATTGGGTGAAACAGCATGCATCATTAAAATTAACTCATATAGTCTGCTTCACTATGGCCGCTAGGACATTTTAAACTGCCTGTGTGCTTCCCATTTCCTTTCTACTGGCAGTGCTCTCCCTCAGAGTTTCAGTTTCCCCTTCCTTATGCCTAAGAGTAGATCCATGTCCTCATCAGGACCCGGCTGATGCTAAGAATAAAGGGAGAGTGAGCTCATGCTTCGTACATCTTGGAGTCTGTAGTCACATTCCAGCTTCCCATGTGCCTGGAAAAACAGCAACCAGTCCAACATGCAAGGCATGTCCGTGCACACACTCAAGCAGGCACACGCTGCACCCCCTTCACCTCCCCACCAGTCATAAGCAGGAACTAGTTGCTGATCCAGAAACAGCTTTCTCTGGACTCACTCAAGATGGGGTGTTCTTTTTGTTTCCTCTAAAAAAAACCGCAGTGTGTGTGTGTGTGTGTGTGTGTGTGTGTGTGTGTGTGTGTGTCCTTGCTGCTTCCCTGTTGTCTGTGTTTAGCTTGGAGTCTGTCAGAAATCTGACCTCAGCTTCCCTGGAGCTGTTAATCCCCTTGGGACCCAGAAAGCACCTGGTGCTCTTGCAGTTACTAAGCATCCTGTTCCAGTTCTGGGGTTGTGCCAAAGGCTAAAGTCCAAAATAAGCTGCACACATGCTAGAGAACCCCGGAAGAGCGCGTGGGATAGACACCCTGTCCCTGTGTGGCCTGGATCTCCACACAGCCATCAGGAACTATTCTGTTGATAGGCCACTGCCTCCGAGTCTCTGAGATGGCACTGCTCTAGTTAAGTCGTACCCTGTGCCTCCTCTGATTTAACCTTCCATTATGCAACCTACACTGGCCTCCTAAAGGGACAATGAACAACCTGGGTTCCCAGACAGGCTCTGATACTGACTGTCTTCTGAATGAAGATTTCAAATTCCAAAATAAATATCATAATGTTCGGCCCTAGCTCTTATGAATGAATAATTAGAAATGGGTAGCACCAACACAGCTCAAAGGAGGCAGCTGTTCTACTTGTCAGATTACAGCCTCCAGACACAGATGAAGACTTCAGTTCTGTGAACTCTGGAGGCAAGGTATTGCCCAAGGATAGTGAAACAAGATTGACTGTTTATGGACCATAGGCAACTCAGAGTAGGCAGGCCTGGACAATTCACTCCTGGGTTTCTGCTCCAGGACTTCCAGAGAACCAGCACAGGGGCTTCTGGTTCCACTGAGTTCTCCTATCATATTCAATGAGAAAAAGATGGCGATTTCAATACAAAGCTAGTTACTGTAAGTCCTTGAGCTCCCCAGTGCGTGTACTTAATCTCCTTGGAGAGCACCCGTGGGACAACGCATGGACTTGTTGTAATTGAAATCTGTTTCTAATGCTCAGGAACACTCAGTGTTCTCACATCAGACTTTGTCCACCTTGTCTTTCTCTGTCATATTAAGAAAGATGGCAGTTGTGCGGC